AACGAACTAAAACGATCCCTCATTAATCTGTATTTGAAAGATACATAATAAAGATTATAGCTGAATAAAGAGAAATACATATGAATAATACAGTTGAGTAGAACTGTATACAGTTGAATACAACAAAATACAACTGAATACAGCTGAATAAAACTCTTGAATGTAACAAAATACAACTAATTTGCTGAATAAAATAGTTGAATATAACTAACTACAACTGAATACAACTGAATACAGTTGTATAAAACACTTGAATACAACTAACTACTGCTGAATAAAATAGTTAAATACAACTGATTAAAACTGAATACAAGAGAATACGCATAACTTTTTAATACATCTAAAATATATAAATGAATGCTGCTGAATACATGTGAATACAGCTGAAATATACATTCGAATACAACTGAATACAAATAGCTATACGAAAGTTTTATTGTCAGCCCCAATTTATTGTTTATCTTCTTATCCAAATGTCTAAAGGCCACTGCTGGACATATTGGCACATATTGTGTTTCTGAAATTGCATATCTTACGCTTCAAGCCTTTGAATTTGGTGCACTGTGTGCCGATAGAAACGTTTTCTTTTTCCGGTGAGTTTCAGAGGCATCGCCGCCGTCGCTGCTGGAGGTAAAACCGCCTCCGGTGCCGCCGTATTCCATTGAGGAACTTTACTGGGAGAAAAGAGAAATCAATAAAACCTTGGATAAAATCTAAGAATTAAACTTACCCTAAGCACTTGTATCGGCTCTAAAACAGTGATTTTAGAGAGAAAAGAAATGGGGAGCGATAATGGCGGAGACCTAGAGAATTTGGGTGGGAGAAGAGGTATGAATCGTGGGTTTGTGGGAGAAGAGAGTAAAGTGTATGCAAAAAGAGAGAGAAAACGTGGTTAGTAAGATTTACGGTGATTATGTGAGAGAAAAGACTAAAAATGAGAGAGAAAAATATTATTTAGCATATATGGTGCCTTAAATGTAGGATGTAACTATAATTAGATATTTTGCTATAAAGGATAAAAGGTATCTATAGGATATAATATTTTAAAATGGTATTTATTTAAAATAAATAGGGTACTAAGCTTTTCTATAGGATATAAAATTCACTATAATCTAATCAAATAAGCTTGGTATCGAGTAGGCCTGGGCGTTAAGCCAAATGGATCGTGTAAGGTTAAATAATCTAATGTATTATTATCATATTATAAGTAAAGCTTTACCCTACAAATTTTTAAAAGAAAGAAAGTGACGTGTGAAAATGAAAGCGGTATTTCTCCTTTTGTCCTTCATTTAGGACCTACAGGTTTTAGACCCCTCTATAGGATTACCAATGCCCACGCCTTTCTCAATTATTGACATCTCTAACCTCTTCTTCCTGTCACTGTGTATAAACTGGTCCCACCAGTTTGTAATTTTATTTTTGGATTATAAATAATCGTCAAAACTAAATAGGCATTTGAATATAAAAAAAATATGAGATTTGATAGTTTTTGAAGTTAACTCGAAAAATATATTTGAATATTAAAATTATATTTGAACATATATTTTTCTTGAAAAATATTAAGTATACAATTTTTGAGAAGAAAATATTATTTACTATGGCTACTTTTTCAAACTTAAAACTCATCTTTTTTTTTTTTTGGTTTTCCACCCGATGTCCGGTACTCGCATTGGAGCCCGACTATATCCGGATTCGCGCCGCGTAGGGCCCCTTTCGGGGGAAACGCTTCCTATCAAGGATTTTTCCATACCCAGGGCTAAATACGTTCCGTCATTTCACTCTATAGGTTTGTAGATGTTTGAGATTTGATACAAATTTGAAAAAGAAAAAAAATACTTTTACATATCAAAGTATCAATAAAATATCTGATCGTAAATATGTCATCATATTTATATGATTATAAGAATATATTATTAAAAGTAAAATAAAAAATTTAAAGTTATATTTTTAAAAAATAAAAATATATTATTTTGTAAAACATATTATAAAAATGCACAAAAATGATATCGAAAAAGAAGTTGATTCTAATATAGTATAACATTCCTATGAATATATATTTTCAAGTTTCTCTTGTTTTTTTCCCCGAGAAATAAAAGGTGAAGAAATTAAGACCCCGTTTGGACATAAGAAATTTTTCTCTTTATTCCAAATTTTTTTTACTTTTTTCCAAAATCAGCGTTTGTTCATAAAATTTTCAATTTTCACTTGAAGATGTATTTTAGAAATTTTTGAAATTTGAAAACTCCAAAAACCTGTTTTTCAAAATTTTCACTCAGATCACTCACAAAGCTTCAAAACAACCCAAAATTACATTCATGTCCAAACACAACTACCATTTTCACTTGAAAATTTTTTCCACCATTTTCTGAAATTTTACAATTCTTATGTCCAAAGTTTACCCAAGTTTTCAAAAAAGAAAAACTTATAAAAATGACGTTAAAAGAAGGAAAGATCAGAAAAGAAAAAAAGAAAAGTATTTGCAAATTACAAGTAAGCTTCAAAATTGCAGGATTCACATTCAAAACTTTGAAAGTGAACCGCGGCTATACAACAATAATAAATTATAGTCCCACCATTCGCAACATTTTCACTCAACTTTCCTTTCATCTTTGTCTCTCTACTTACTGTTACAAAATCCACAGCAACTTCTCTCAAAATCTTTCTCTTCTTCTCATCACATTCTCACTCATTTTGCACACTAAAAATGGACTCTTTTTCTCCCATTTCAGTACCAGAATCTTCACCAAAGCCACAGACTTTCAAGAAAAGCTTCGTAACTTCTTTAATGGAAGCAGCTACATTAAAAACCCCATCTTTTAAAGAAGACACTTACTTCATTTCCCACCTAAAACCCTCTGAAAAAAAGGCATTACAAGAGTTAAAAGACAAACTTCAAGCTTCTTCTAATGGAGCTGAATCTTTATCCATGTGGGGTATTTCACTTTTAAGTGGAGATGAAAAAGCTGATGTCATTCTCCTAAAATTCCTCAGGGCAAGAGATTTTAAGGTTTCAGATTCACTTCACATGTTAGAAAAATGTCTGTCTTGGAGAAAAGAGTTTAATGCTGACACCATTTTGGAACAAGATTTAGGATTTAAAGAACTTGAAGGGGTTGTTGCTTATATGAATGGCTATGATAGAGAAGGACACCCTGTTTGTTACAATGCTTATGGGGTTTTTAAAGATAAAGAAATGTATGAGAGGATTTTTGGTGATGAAGAAAAATTGAAAAATTTCTTGAGGTGGAGAGTTCAAGTTCTTGAAAGAGGTATTGACCAGTTGCATTTTAAGCCTGGTGGGATTAATTCAATTATTCAAGTTACTGATCTTAAAGATATGCCTAAAAGAGAATTAAGGGTTGCTTCAAATCACATCCTATCTCTTTTTCAAGATAATTACCCTGAAATGGTGGCTAGAAAGGTAAATGGTTCAATTTTTTTTTCTCTTTATAGGAGTACCTTTTTTGTTTTCCCCTTCTAATTCTTGAGTAAAGTTTGTAACTTTATGTTTTTTTTTAATAGATATTTATAAATGTGCCATGGTACTTCAGTGTGTTGTATTCAATGTTTAGTCCATTTCTGACTCAAAGAACTAAGAGCAAGTTTGTGATATCCAAGGAGGGAAATGTTGCTGAGACATTATACAAGTGAGTATGTTATTGCACTATAATTAATTTTTTTTGCCTCACTATATAAAATTTGGTTCCTTTTGTCCTTTTTGCTGTCTGTCTCAGTAAAATGATCTTTTGTAAACCTTCTGTTTTGTTTCTTTCTACATTTTCCTGTCCTTTGAGGTTAATATAATCCCATAAAAATGAGTTTATTGCAATAATGAGGTTAAGAAAGAATGTGTATTTTTTAAAATTTGTCCCTTTTTTATTTAAAAAATAACCATTTTGAGATACATTTTTGTTCTGACCAGATTCATAAGGCCTGAGGATATTCCTGTTCAGTATGGTGGACTGAGTCGACCCACTGATCTGCAAAATGGTCCACCAAAACCAGCTTCTGAGTTCTCTGTCAAAGGAGGAGAGAAAGTCAATATCCAAATTGAAGGAATTGAGGTGCATTATTGTTTTTCCCATTTTGGTTAATTTTTTTGAATACTCTCCTCAATAAATTTTGTCTAGGATGCACACTATAATTTTGTCTACAGTTTCTACCTTAGCTGTGCATATATAGGATGGGATGTAAGAACTAGTCTGACCTTTTGGACAATATTTAGTTAAGTTGAAGTTGCAGAGTATTTAAAGTTGGAGTTGAAAAAAAGAGTATTTGGAAATTGAAACTTTATTTGGTATATATATTTCACTTAAACAATTTTTTTATTGCAAGTTGAAGTAGGCCTACTCAATCATTTTGCTGTCAAATTGCTATACAAAACATTAACAAATTTCTGCTTAAAGCAGATCTCAATTGAGGTCATTTTAATGATGTAACATTATGACTGTCTTAAGGTGTTTGACCATGTTATGATAACAAGGTACAAAGATGAGTTCTTGATCATGTTATTCGTTAAACTATGTGACCATTCCATCTTAAATTTTTAGAGATTATAATCTTCAACATGCCCTCTGACTTGATGTTTATATATAGGCTGGTGCAACAATAACATGGGACATAGTGGTAGGAGGATGGGAAATGGAGTACAGTGCAGAATTTGTACCAAATGCAGAAGGCAGCTACACCATTGCTGTGGAAAAACCAAGGAAAATTGGAGCAAATGAAGAGGCAATTCACAACTCATTCACATCAAAAGAAGCTGGAAAAATGGTGCTTTCAGTAGACAACACTGCTTCTCGCAAGAGAAAAGTTGCAGCCTACCGATATGTCGTCCGCAAATCCGCAACAATCTCAGGCTAAAGTGAAGGAAGAAGAACAAAAAAACTTAGCCTTTTCTTTTTTTGATTCACTTTATCTAGAGTTGTTTAATCTTTTTGTTGGTGAATGTATGGCAACTTAGTAGTAATATTATCTAAGTGATAGTGCGCTAGTATGAATGTATAAATGGTGGTATTATATTGCTTATTAGTACTACTAATATGAAGTGAAAAGCATCTTAACTTTGCTAATACCACTTAATTGTGGGAATTTTTTATAGTTTTAGTGTCATTCTTTTTCTTTTCGCTCATTTTGTTTATGTGGGTCAGTGGCTTCTTTATTTATTTAATTTTTTTTTTTTGTTGAGGTGTGATCTTATTTTTTGCAGAAGTGGGTCAGTGGGTGAAGACTTTAGAGAGCAAAATGTCTAGGTTTGAAAAGGAATAGGGTTGGTGTGTTCTTCTTTTTTGTTGAAAATTTTCAGTTTTATGGTCAGGCATGCTTTTTTGGGAAGTGTAAAAGAAGAAAACTTTGGCCCCAGAAGAGTGGATGTGGACTCAACTCTGGAGCTCTGCTGGGGCATATCATATGGAAGATTTTGGAAGAAATTATTAAAGCAGACTATAGTGGGGTCAATAATAATAATCTGCTTGTGGTAGACAGAAGATAGAGAGTTTTTCTGTTGTCTCTTGTTAATATTTTGCTTTAGATTTGCTTTTGTTTTTCTAAATATTACTCTTATTTTTATTTATATATATTATAATACGGTATGTGACTGGGGGTTGTTTGTGTTCATTATAATTATTTTATTGAGTTCTTTTTTAGCATTTATTTATTAAGCTTTCTCAAACTTTCCCGGGTTCACTTTAATTGATAAGCAGACTCATAATAGTGGTACCTAGATGTTTTTTTTTTTTTTTTTAAGTACAGTTCGACTATTTTACTTATTATTTTCCACCAGCATAAATGTTAACAATGACATAGTCACATGCAAGGATGAGTTTAATTGAATTCACTTAGTCGGAATAGGGTAAAGACAATTATTTTTTACAGATTTGGAATTTTGAATCCCCTTAATACAAGAAAAATTTAGGTTAAAATTTCAAGTATGGCATTTTTAAAAATTTCTTATCAGAATTTCTGGTTCCGCCCACTGGATGCCGATAACTCTGGCAATTAGGCCAATTTGTTCTACATTTACTCTTTTGATGAGCATGCCTATTTGCTATATATTGCACTTTTAGTGTGCAAAACTCTGCTTCTGTTACTCTTGTGTTTTTGTTGGGGTTACTGCAATGATGCTGTGTGCTTGGCTGTTTTTGATCTTATGAACTCTTTATGCTTGCCTTATTCTATGGTGTTACAGTTACTTTCTACAGACTCGAGGTTTGTCAGTTTTAGCCATAGGTTTTTCTGCCATTCGTGATTTTTTAACTTTTACCATCACCTAAAGATGAAAGGTGAAAAAGAAAGAAACTCATCGACAGTGATATACGTAATTTGGACACAACTCATATTCAAAATGCTCACGATATTGAATGTGTCCCCCTATTCAGTATCCTTCTTTAAAGATTTTAAGCTACATTTGAAGTAGCAATGTTCATTAAAAAACAGGCCCCTACTTGATTTAGACTATTTATTAGTAAGTGTTTTTCATATGACTTGTTAATTATGGATTTTTTTTAGCTTTTTTCTTGTCTGAGAAAAATTGAGACTTAGGATTCGTTTGTCCTTAGATGTTTTTTCCTTTTTTTTTTTTGATTTTTTTTTCAAAAAACGTGTTTGTCCATGAATTTTTGCAAATTTTTGAAGATTTTTCGAAAATGAGTTTTTCAAAAACCAAAAAGTGGTTTAGATAACTTTTTCAAAATTTTTAAATTTTTTTCACTCACAAAACTGCAATATTTTTTAACTGCAATGCATGTCCAAACATAATCTCAAATTCCAAATATTATTTTTCAACTTAACTCCAAATCTATTTTTCTTCAAAAATTATAATTTTTATGTCCATTACTTAATGGATGCAAATACTCTTCCTATTCGAACATTTAACATTTTCTTTTACGTGTAGAGTGCAACCATACATTTATGTTTAGTGTTTCTTACCGTATGGCAAACATGATATATACTACTCCATGTTACATTTATTTTAAATTTACCTTGATGTACCAGAATCAAACAGATACGACAAAGGTGTAACTATTTCATGCATGATGTTTTATACGTCAATACTACACAAGAGGGGTGATTTGTGTGGTACCCAATTTTCGCTTAACTTGATTATAGAATGACCTGGTTCTTCTATGTGTTCCAACTACTACTGTCGCGGAATAATAACCACAGAAAATAAAGAACACAGAGATATTACGTGGAAGGCACTTGACTCAAAAGGTGAAAAAAACTACGACCTACCTTCCAGTAGGATTTTCCTAAACTCTCCACTAAAATCACTGAGCCAAAAACTGCATTTACAAAAACTCTTTTGTAAACCTAGGATTAACTCTAATCCCATTATGGCACACAGCCTCAACTGTTGCGACAACTTCAAGTTAACTCTAACTTGAAAATTCTAAGTACCTAATACAATTACTTCTAAATAAGTTGAAAGGTACAATGTAAAATCACCTACTACAGTTGAACTAGAATAAAAGATAGACACTTGGAACTGGTTCTTCTATCTGGTTCAAGTAGCTTCAGGATTGCACGCTTGAATCACACATAAATTGCTTGCAAAATCGCCTTGCAATTTTGCTCTCAATTCACGTTTAACTTCTGCTTATGTGCTCCCCTGTAAAAGAGAACAACACTAATATTTAAGGAGTTAACAATTAGAGATTGACTAGGATACAGACACTACCCTTCCATGGTGGAAGAGTTCTAGTTGATCTCATACTCTAACTCTATCCTTTTCCTAACCCGTGTTCTCTTTGTGTAAGGAGTCTTTCTCCTTATCCAATATGCAACCTTTTTGATCATGATCAGAAGATAACACTTCTGACATGTTAGGTTTATCTCCTTCACGTGCATCTCACATGTTTGAGTTGATCATAACTGTGCTTCACAAGATGGACTTGGTCCATGTCTGAGTTCCTTTGTCACTCTTCAAAACTTCACCTTTACTTGGGCCAACAAATTCCGCCTTTTTGATGATGACAAACTCTGTGCTTCTCACTCACTTAGGCCCTGTTAGAACTCAGCTTATTCATCAATACAAAGTTAGAAAAATTTACTTATCATCAAGGACCAGGTTCATTAGGTTATAAACATCATTTATTCAGAATATACAAAGCACAATATCTCTTCCCCCTTTTGGCATCATCGAAAAGTTGCATAAACATAGTGTGAGTCCCAGAATTTTAACAATTACTCATGGCCACTGGGGCAATTGCAAGTGAAATCATGGATTAATCATCAGTAATCAAGCAAACATTTCAAACTATCAAGGAAATATTAACAATCAACAAGAGAAAAAATAGTAGATATCATTGATATAAGATATGTTGCTACCACAATCCACAAAAAGAAAGCAAAAATATTCAAAATATGAGCAAAAGAAAGAGAAATCCATAATCTGGGTCACTGGTGGTACTAGATAGGTTCAGGAGATAAAGGCTAGAAGTCCTAAGGCTTAGGGGAGCTAGAGGGTTGGTTTTGGGCTTGGAGAAGGTTCAACATATTTTGAAGAATGCCATCATTCTTCTCCTTTTCCTTGGTGAGCTCAGTTCTGAGAGCATCCCTCTCAGATTCAACCTCTGCAAAGCGAGCCTTCAGCCTAGCTATCTCAGCATCCTTGGCCCCACTTTCCTGAACTAGAACCCTGGCTTTACTATTGATAGGTGTCTTCTTGGATGAACCAGGTTCATTTGGAAAGGCTTTGACTGGATAGTCACAAGCAATCAAAGTAATAATGCCAAAATGGTCCTTGCTTGTGGCCATTTCCCACTTCTTCAGAGGCACCTTGCAAAGATCCAGAACAGTAGTCAGAATAAATCCATAAGGGGTGGCATGGGCCTTGGAGCCATTGATAACCCTGTCCAGTAGCTTGATGATGAATGTAGGCCAGTTGATTTGTCTTCCACTTTCAAGACACTCTATCAGAACTAAGTCCATATAGTTGCAATGTGCCTTCTTTCCTGCCTGGCCTGGGTAGTAGGCACTTGTTGACAAATTCAAAGAGGACTTTGTGTTGTGGCTTCATTTCACTCTTGTGCACAAACTTGGCCTCATTCACTTCTTCAACATCACAGAATCTTCTAGTGATTTCAAGGGCAGAAGGAAGGGAATCCAGACTGGGCCATCTTTGCCTAGTGTAGTCATCATATCCATCAGCAGGGATGTCAAGAATCTCACCCAGCTTCTCTGCATCGAAGGTCACCGGAACTCTTTTTACTTGGCTGGTAACTCTTCCATCGTTGACCTCTGCATTGGCCATTAATTCAATGATTTCATTAATAGCAAGCCTTCCATCCATCTGAAGGACCATGTCCTTCCAGCCCTGAGCAGCTAGTGCATCAATCGATCGACCATTCCTGGTTCCACCAAGTCTTTCAGCATCTACCCTTCAGAATTTTTCTTTTGCCAAACTTGTCCAACTTGTCTTGTTCACCATCAGACTCACTCTCTTCTTCACCACTCTATTCTTCATCCTTAGCAATTCTAACTTGTTTGTTTTTCACTGCAGACCTTGCCCTTTTGGCCAATGAAGGTTCAACAGCCTTAGACCCTGATGAAGACTTCTTGGAAGAAGTCCTGGTCTTTTTAGGCTTGGGGGTATGAATCTCCACAGTTGTATGTTCCTCCTGATGGACCTGTTCCATCTCCTCAACATCAACAGCCTCAGAAGGCTCTGCAACCTTAGCTTTTCCTTTATCCATCCTCTTCTTCTTGCTTTCAGCCAAAGGCTTTTGTAATTCACTCTCACTCTGTTTCACCATACTTCTTGCGGCTCTCCCTTTTGGCAAGGGAATTTCAGTAGTTGTTGGGGAAGAAGCCTTTCTTTTTCTTGGATGGTTTTGCAGTGCTGGGGGCTTTTGGTGTTGGGGTTCTTCTTTTCTTTGGATCATAGCTAACACCCACTTTCTTCAGAAGGTCTGCTAGGGTCTCCTCAACAGATGAACCAGGTTCATCAACCTACTTATGAGTGGAATTTCATTGACAAGCAAATTCCCCGGGAAAACGAACTTTTCTCCAATTGAGATGCCCGGTTCACGAGGTTCTACCACTGCAGGGCCCAGTTGCCATTCTCCCATTACTCAAGTCGTCCAAGGGACAGGACCCCCGCACTGTAAAAA